GGGGTTAGATAAGCAGTTGAGAGGCCAGACCAGCTGCACCAATGTCCCTAACGTAAGGCCTTAGGGTTCTTTCAATAGAGTGTGAAAAAGAAAAAAGCGAGTGAGAAGACAGGTTAAAATTGATGCATTGACGTCTCGTTTGGGAAATATTTCAAAGCGCTTCCTATGGACCAAGAACTCTACTGGAAACCACAGAGCAGTAGGCAAGACAACAATGGTCCCTGCTCCAGACCATGGACGGCTTACCCAGGATACAGGGCGGGGACAGGACTCCCAGCCCGAGGCCTTCCCATGCCTCCTTCCTCTCCCGGAAAGCCAAAGGAACTCCTGGCCCACTTCGTTCTACTCACCCTCGGGCATCTAAGGGTTCCTAGTCTACCGAGCTCTTTACGGCTGGTGCCTGTATGTGAGTGGCTGACTCTCCCATCTCATGTATCGGCTTAAGTAAGTACCTCGGAGAGGCCATCCTTTCCCCACTCCCCTATAATCTCCTTTCATAACAGCCTGTTTATTACACTTATCACAACTGCCGTTAGCCTGTTTATTGACCTATCTGCGTATTGTCTACCTCCTCTGAGAAACCATCTGTCTCATTCATGGTTATGTCTGTAACACCTATCACATGTCTACACATAGGTAGGAACTCAGTACATATTAGTTCAATTACAAACCAATGTTGACTACACCTCCCACATAAACCTTCTCTGGGGCAACATCACAACCCTTCCCGAAGCTGGACTACCCAGGCTTTTACCCACAATGCCACTGAGCAGCCCCTTATGTCACCTCTGCTTCATCTCCACGTCTGCGCTTTCAGCAACCACATCTCCAAAGGACACAGAAGCACTTTGTTTGCTCATCCAAGTGCGGTGCGAATTCAGGTAAAAGCGCAGAGATGGGAAGAGGGAGGCAGTTCAAAAACTATATAATTACAAACTAAAATGAAGCAGCAAAATGTCAAGAAGAAATGGAAATCGTCACTGTTCATAATGTCCCCTTTGCTTAATGGATGACAAACTGGAGCAATAATTCTCAACATTTAATGGAAAGCCGTCCCAGGATGGGAATCTGGCAGGGAGCAAAGTCAGAGCAAGGAGCTCTCCGTTCTGTTCCCCCGTTAGTCACAGCCATTTTCACAGTGATTTGCTGGAAATGAAATGTTGTGGCTGAAGGAGCTCTTTTACGCAGGGAAGGAACGAAACCCAGAACTCATAGCACTCATACTCCAGCTCCGTCCTGGAAATGACGGTACAGATGAGTGCATAAAGGGAGCACGGCCTTTACATTTTCTCCCAAGACAATTAGCTTTGAGACACCAGGGGAGTCACACAATGGGAGCATGCCCAGGGAGCACCAATGAGAACACAGAACATTCGCGATCACTGCCCTGTTCTCCATGGGCCATGCCCAGTTGTAAAGAATATTGTCGGGGCCGGCCGAGTGGCGCGATGGTTAAGAACTCGCTTGGGATGCCAGAGGGCCCCGGTTCGGATCCCACATATGAGGGCCAGTGACACTGCCCTCCACAGCTAAGATGCTGAACAACAGCTCAACCTGGAGCTGGGCTGCCTTGAGTTGCCGGCGACGGCGTAGGCTGCAGCCCCTGTGGCAGTGGGTTGCCATGGGCTACCGTGTGTAGCCAGCAGCCAGCGTGAGCGGCCAGCAGCCGCAGTGAGCGGCCGTCCAGAAGCCGGCGCCTGATCTGCCTCACCCGGGAAGAGCGCAATGACGGTGCCAACTTGGGCCAGTGAAGCAACATCCTCCACAACGAGATTGAAGAACAAAAATGACAGCAACTTGTCTGTTCCCCTTCCCTCAGTTCCCCAGCACTGTTCCCATCCCCCCAATTCCCCAATAAAAATCTTAAAAAAAAAAAAAAAAGAATATTGTCCATATTTCTTCACATGTCCTTCCTTTTCCCCTTGCACCTAGAATGGGCTCTCAAATGAAGCAGAGACTCATCAGGAGATCCAGGCTGGTTGGTCTATTGGCCGCTGATGGGGGCGGGGAGCAGAGCCAGGCAATGAAGCCACGTCTAAGGTAGAGGGGTTGATGGGGGGTGGTCCTTTCTTTGACCAACTGTTTAGGTTCTCCTGGGACTGGGTGGAAATCACTCTGCAGCAGCCAGTCAGTCTATGTCTCCTGACTTTCTCTCCATGGGCTGGAAGATAATAAAAATGTGTAACAACAATATTATTAATGCCAATAACCCAGGAGTCATTGTTCTATGTTCGTTAGGGCATTCCTGGTAACTGCACCCCGGTAGAAATTTTTAGGAAATTACCCCTTCACCATTGTGGGCACTATTGATAGAACTGTCACTGACAATGCCCTGGGTCTGACCAAGCAGCAGGCACGTGACCAAAGCCAGGCAAATGAGGCTCCATCTGCTGAAGCAGGAAAACAGCAGATAAAAATGTCTGGAGTTGACCAGACTGTCAGCTAGCTCCTGATAATGCATCTCATCCCTTCTGAGCTTAGTTTCTAGTGGATTGTTTAATGCTGTGAGCTAGCGCATAGCCTTCTAAAGGAATCCAGTGTTTGTTTGTGTATTCGTTTCCCAGGGTTGCCAGAACAAAATACCACAAACTGGGCATCTTAAAACAAGAGAAATTATTCTCGCCGGAGAAGTCTGAAATCAACGTGTTGGCAGGGTTGGTTCTTTCCGGAAGCTCTGAGGGAAGAGTCTGTTCTATGCCTCTCTCCAAGCTTTCAGTGGCTGCTGGCAAGCTATTGCTTTCCTGGGCTTATAGAGGCATTACTCCGATCTCCTTGCCTCTATTGTCACATGGCCTTCTCAGTGTGTCTGTACCCAAATTTCTCTCTTCTTAGAAGAACACCAGCCATTGGATAAGGACCCACCCTAATCCAGTGTAACCCCTTTTTAACTTGACTACATTGCAAAACCCCTATTTCAAAATAAGGCCACATTCAGAGGTTCCAGGTGGACGTGACGTTTGAGAGGAAACTATTCAACCCAGGATAGCATGCAACCAACAAAGCTCCGACCGATGGGCCGGCCGAGTGGCTCAAGAGTGCGAGCTCTGAGCAACGGCGGTTCGATTCCTGGGCCAAGCTGAGCTGCTGCTGAACTGCCAACAGGTGGCAGGATGGCTCAGCTAAAAAAAAAACAAAAAAAAAAACCTCTGACCGGTTATGTTCCAAAGCAGTGTCAAGAGTGGGTGCTATATATTATCTGCTTTAATCCTGACAAACACCCTTGAGGTGGGCACCTTTAGTATCCCCATTTTAGAGGTAGGAAAATGAAGGGACAGAGAGTTAGTTAGAAGCAGAGTTACGATTTAAGGCCAGGGCTAAATCTGATACAAATGTGTTCTCCTAATCACTGCATTATATATATTCCAGGCTTTGCCCTACTTGGAAATGCATTGATGGCTCCCCGACCCACAACTACATGAAAGGAAAATGGTCCATTTCCCAACATGGGGCTAGGTTACCACATCCCGACATGGACTAACCTGCCTTCTCTGCATCTCAGTACTAGGTGACAACCAAAGTCAGAGGACCTGAAAGAGAACTAGAAGGAATCCTGAAGCGAGCCAGAGAACAGCTGCCACAACTGTTTGGTAGCAGAGGTGGGATAGAACCCGCTGAGCGCTGGGTGAGTTGGGCAAAGAGACAGGGACAGAAGGCAGGGTCTGGTGCTGGGCAGTCTCGTCTCTGTGAGGCCCAGGCCAACAGTGAAGGCACAGTCCGGATGGCTAGCACGCCACAAACACTGTTAGAGTTTCTCCCTCAGCAAGACTCTTGGCTGAACAAGGAAGACCTTGGATCATGTTAACAGTTCAGCGCTCTTGGACTGATCCAGCCTGTGAGGCTTTGGGACCCATTCAGATCTTCCCATAAGCCCGTCAAGGGCAGGGACAGCCATATTCTTCCAAAGTATTAGCTCCGGGGTCTGCTGGATTTTGAACTAAAGACCCTGTCCCTCAACCACCAATGGGAACCTGCCCCCAAACCCCCCTCCAAGGACTGTGTGACCGAATTGCTCCCTAGGGCAAGAGCATCAAGTCCTGGAAAGGGATACCGACATGTGGCGCCAGAGATGGGTCAGAATGTCCCAAGGTAAAAATAGAATCAATGTGCTTTGAACTTCTAACCCAGGGGAAAATCATGTTGCTGGAGGACAGTGTTGTTGGTACTTCTTTATAGCTGAACCACTGTCTGCAAAGGTGTAAATCTACCGGGGGGGGGGGCTTCATTCTGTGATCATTCTTGTAAGAGTACAACACATTCCTCATAGAAATACTACAAAGAGATAAGGGAAAACAACAATGATGCATTAGCTTACCAGCTGGAGACACCTGCTGGAAACATCTGTATTTGTATCCTTCCAGACAGATTTCTAAATACTTCTCCCCAAAATGGTGTCTAAGATGCACAGTCTTACGATCTCTGTCTTTAACTTAAAAATGAATCCAGAATATCTTTTCATACCATCAAATGTTATTCTACAACATGGCTCTTGATGGCCGTATAATAATTCATTGTACAGATGCCTCACTGAACATTTAGATTGTTCCAGATTATTGCTATAATAACCAATGCTGCAAAATCTAATTTTGCCGCTGAATCTTTGAACATGCTTTATTTCCTTAGACTAAATGCCTGAAAATGTAATTACTGGGTCAAACGCGACGTAAGACTTGAGGTTCTTTTTACACATATTACTAACCCACCCACTGAGAAGGTTGAACAATTTACACTCCCACCAACAGCAGAAGAGGGAGCCCTTTTTGTGAGTCTCTGCCAACGGTGGGCTTTGCCATTAAAAAAAAAAAAAAAAAACTTTGTCACCACTTATTCTGTAAAAGCATCCACATCTCTGAAAAACAAGGTTTTTCCTGCCAATGAGCTCATTTGTGTCACTGGGGGATTAGTCCATTTACTTTCTGTCCTTGCGCCTCATACAGCTTTCCCACCCACTCATGTCTTGGGAAAGTAGTAAAAGAGAATTCAAATGAAGAGGGAAAACATACAAATTCTCCTATCTCTGCAGACACTGAAGAGGCCGGTGCTCCAGTCCCCGCCAGTCTGGACAATGGTCGTGAGTGTGGTCCTGCCACTGGCTCCCCGGACAGGCTGCTTCACCACAGCCTGGGCTGGTGCGTGGCTCCTGGGGAGTCAAGGATGGGGACTCACTTAGAAACAAAGAAGGTGGTTCCGAAGGACAATCATTAAGTCAAGACGGAGTGATAAAGAGGAGTTAGGGACCCAATGATGCCAAGTGGCTCTTCATTCAGAGCCCCAGCTGACGTCACCATCCCCTTCCCCCCTCCATCCCTCCTCCTCTTTTTGACCCATCTCTGTTAATGGCATTATTATTCCAAATCCTGTCACTCAAACTCAATGTCCTATCGACTTCCTCAAGTGTTTCTCAGTGTTTCATAATAAATTCACAAATTTGGAAGCAAGAGGCCTCCGTTCAAATCCCAGCATGCCACTTCCTGGAATTGGAGCCACTTACTGAAAAGGAAGAGGATGCTTGGAACACAGCCAGCCTAACATGCCCGCGAGACACCAGGAGGACACCCAGCAAACAGCTGGAAATGCTGCACTAGATCTTAGAAGAGGGGTTGGGGTTCGGAGCTACCTTCTAGAAGTGTGAAGTACAGCAATGAAATGTGCCCAGCCCTTTTATCCATGAGGCATTACAGGCAACGCGTAGGGCCTAACCAGCTTTTCAAGAGCCTACAAAAGTGAGACCTGGAAAAGAGTATTGGCTCCAAAATATAAAAACTGCAAAATACAAATTAGTGAATGCTCAAACACCAAAATCTAGCATTCTCATGGATTGTCAAATTTAGAATTCACAAATATTTTATTACATTTGAAAACAATTCATAATTCTCTCATTTCAAAAAAATCCCAAGTAGGAATGCCTGCTGAGAAGCAGCAACCAATCATAAATAACTCAAAGGCAAATAATTTCAAAAGCAAAATTATAAAAATCCTTTCACTTACTGTTGTAGAATAACATATGGGGCCAGCCGAGTGGCTCAGTTGGTTAAGAGCGTGAGCTCTAAGCAACAGGGTCACCGGTTCAATTCCCACATGGGCCAGTGAGCTGTGCCCGAGCTGAGCTGCCAACAGGTGGCAGGATGGCTCAGCTGGTGAGATTACGTGCTCCTAACAACAAGGTTTGCCAGTTTGACTCCCGCATGGGATGGTGGGCTTTGTGCATCCACAACTAAGACTGACCACGGCACCTTGAGCTGAGCGGCTGCAAGCTGCCGATGGGTGGCCGGATGGCAACTGGAGTTGGAGCTGAGCTAGCTGCGCCCTTCAAAACTAAGATTGAAGGACAACTTGTTTGTTCTCCTTTCCCAATTCCCCAATAAAAATCTTTAAAAACAAACAAACAAAAACATACATATACTGGGGATGCCAAAAAAATGTATACAAGTGGACACTTTGGTCAGCGTTGCTCAAGCAGTAGTTTGCCGTAATCAGAACTGTTTGGACGCTGGTGGTAACCACTTTGAGCACCTCTTGTAATTCCAGAAGTTAAACGTGACTTGTATTCATCTTTTGTAATTGGTATATATTATTACAATTTTAATAGTTTTCATTTTATATATATATATATATATATATATATATATATATATGGTACATTTTAATATACTACTATATTGCTATAGACTGAATTGAATTGTATCACCCAAATTCTTGTTGAAGCTAGCCCCCAATGTTACTGTATTTGTAGATAGGGCTCTTAGAGGATAATTAAGAATGGGGGTGGGATCCTGGTCTGACAGCATTGCTGGCCTTGTAAGAACAGGAAGGGACAATGTAAGCACACAGTGAGAAGGCTGTGAGACGGAGAGTCCCCACCAGAACCTGACCATGCTGGCAGCCCGTCTTGGACTGACAGACTTGAGCTGAGAGAAAATAAACGTCTGTTCTTTAAGCCACCCAGTCTATGGTACTTTGCTACGGCAGCCCAGGAAGACTGACACCTATGAGGACTTCAAACTGGCCCTGAAGAAACTATCTTTACACAGATCTTGTTTCTACGTCCATGAGAGCTCCTTGAGGTTGGGGGGCGGGGAAGGGGGGGGGCACATGCGCTTCTCTCCGGGTCCCCAGCATCCAGCACATTACCTTGCAACCTGGTGGGTGCATGTACTTGTCGAATTGGATTAAACTGAATTCACTCATCTCTTCTGTTGTACGTGAGTCCTGAAATCTACCTATACATTGTGAACTTCACTGTGCTACATTCTCTAGTAAAGGCACAACTCTCAGGTGTGAATGGGTGAAATGAAAGTAGAGTAGCCTAAAAGCTTTATGCATCCCTCCACACAATCCGAGGGTTTACCTCTTAATGTGAGGTAATCAATGTGATGCCCGGAAGTTGGCGCTTCCGTCATGACACTGAGAGCTTCCAATTACCTCTGACTCCCACAGAGGAATTTCTGAGGGCTGAGCCCCTGGATTCAAATTTCCCCCTGAAATAAACCACTTACAGTTTGCAGCCCCTGAATAGAATTTTCTGCTTCGACCTCAGCATTATGTGCCTAACACCTCTTATTATGGTGAAGAAGCCTGTCCCCTAACTATTCCAAATCAAATAACTAAGAGGATAGCTCTTCCTTAGTAGGAATGAAAATTAGTTTTTTGTGTGTTTTACCTAATTTTGAACTCAAGAAGTACATTATTGAGTTTCTTTCCTTATACCCTGAATCTTTGGTGATTTTTTTACCAACACGTTTGAATGGACAAGCACTGGCTAAAACGTTTCAGTTCAAGATTACAGCTCACGTGTCATAATGAAAACAACAAGCATAGCGACCCTTCACTGAGCAGGTTCTATGTGCCAGGCACTGAGTTCCTTTAAGAACTGATTAATTATTCAGGGGCTGCTGCAGGGACCAGGCTGAAGCAGCTATCGCAGCTTCCGTAGGTACAGCCTTGAGCTCTATTGTCCCAGAGAATCTTATACCACCATTAACAGCTACAAGTTTGGAAACCACGGATGAAGCCAATGGTCACAGAGCTTGGCTAAATCAGAGCAGCTGTCCATCTGCCAGCAAGCTCTTCATTTAGTGGAAAGAGGACACATTCTAGATTCAGGCACACTCAAGTTCAAAAGTGGCTCGGCTGCATGCTAGCTGGTTGACCTTGGGAAACACAACCTGTCACAGACCTCGAGTCTGGTCTCCTCTTCCATAAAACTGATTTAAAACATTCGACCTCTGCTGTTGCCAGGAGGTCTAAACAAGATCATGCCCTTGGCACATAGTAGGCATGCAGCCAACAGCAGCTATTGTTGTTGTAACTTAAGGATCCTGCACCTACCACAAGGGCATTCCGTAAGCTTCTCTGAGAAACAAAGAACAGAGGAAGGAGACCTGGGGCAGCTTCTCAGTTGTCATGTGCGATCTCCAATTACCCTAAAATTCAATCAGGGTGAGTGATCATCCTAGTCTGCCCAGGACTAAGGGTGTTCCCAGGATGGAGACGTTTCAGTGCTAAAATCGGGAGTCTCAGGCAAACCCAGAGGGCTGGTCACCCTGATTGACATTAGCAGAGGGAGGCTTCCATTGGTGGGAGGCAAGAGGCGGACTCTAATCATTCTAGTCATCTGCCCAACCAGTAACAATATTAGGAGACTAATGACACAACCCCTTCCACCTTTTGCCCTCGCTCTATCCTTCCCCTGGCAGCTAAGCACATTCCCCCACTGCATGTCCCCTCACGTCTGGTGCTTCAGCGGAGGGGAGCGGGGGAAATGTCACGTCACTCTCTTCCTTACTGAAACATACATACGAAGAGTTCATTCTGCTTTCCACTCACGCCTCCTTGATTACTTCAAACTCTAAACTGAAACCAAAACCCTTGAGTTTTCATTTCTAAAGGGTGGACGTTACTGGAAGCCACCAGAACTAGTTTCACTTGGTCAGGGTTCAACATTTTACGTTAACAATAAAGAGACAACCTTTCACCCAAGCCAGGCCTTCTCTTTTCGGGAGCCACGCCAGGCCAGAAGGAACCATCGAGTTACCCACTTTTGAAGTACACGATAAATGACGGCAACTATTGTTACTTCCTTCCCAAGCCCGTCTTCCTTTTCGCTGGCTCCTTATAAGAAGGAATTGAGTTGATATTCCAACCGAAGAACAAAAGCTGGGGGTGAGGGGTAAGAAATCACCCTACTCCGTACCTCAAGTTGGAAATCAAATGCTGTTCATCTTCAGATGACATGAGTGAAAGCAACAGAGGTGAGTGTATGCTGAGTACGGAAACATCTTCGGGAAACTTAGAGACGTAACTTCTACAACAACTCATAATGACAGGGGTTTTCTTGTCACTTGGGCAATCCTTTTCATTTTGACAATAGGATGGCTGATTCGACACTGGGGTTCAATCCAAAACGAAACAGCTGTTCTAAAGAATGTTCTTGATATTCTGGAATCTGACATCACAGCAGTGTCACTGACAGACACCTTATTTCTTTAAAGACAGGTCCACACCTAACTGTGTCCATCTTACTGATCTGAAGGGAGATGCTGCTGAAGATAGAGTGGAAGTTGAAGAAAACAACTTCTCTTTGGTGGAAAACCCCTTTGCTCTTGGATCCCTCTAGTAAACATTTATCTAGCTAAGAGCCACTTGACCTTCCCTTAGGAGACTCAGAAACCTACAGATTTCTGCCAGGCAGTGTGGCTGAGAAGCAGCAAGGGCCACAAGTCATCCCCAGGTCGGCTGGTCCAATTCAGCAAGAAAACAGTCTCATCACTAACCTGAAAGCAAGGACAGAGACATCTTTCGGCCCAGATATCATACTTGAATCCATCTCATGAAAGATAGGTCTCCTAAATTTTGAGCTATGCTGGGCTGTCCCAAGCCTCTAAGGCTTTTCAGAACGTATAGAAATCTCCTATTCTCTCATGGCCTTCACTGATGCTTTCCTACCCAGCCCAGACGGAAGGAGCCTGGTGAACGGGCAGGGCTGGGCTGCTGAGTGTCTGCCTGCTGCTCTGAATCTTCGGGTTCTTAGGGGCCTCCGAAATATGCCTCTTAGGACATGCCTTATGGATGTGTGGACGCCAGAAACACTGAGAAAGTGTCCTTAGAGGAAAAAATATTAGACAACGTTGTACACTGAGGGGAGGGGTCTGCAATCATAATTCAATGTTACATTAAAAGGACAACAGGAGGTAACTGCCAAATATACTACATATTCTGCTCATCAGACCCAGAGAGAATGATTGTTTAGGGTTCTGAACTTCAAAGCATTTTCTTGAGCGGGGTTGTTAGCAAAAGCCAATGTAATACCTCCCCAATCAAGATTCCTCGCGTATAAATTCATAATTGCCTTCGTTCACTGGGTTCTGGGCAACTCTCACTGTCTTCTTACCTGTAAGAACGCATCCTACATGAAGGACAGCCATGCGTCTTCGGCTTACCACCTCTATTCCAAGTTCTTAACACAGTGTTTGAAACATAATAAGCACTCAATAATGTGTTGAATAAATGTGCTATACATGAAAATACAAGTTTATAAAATAACAAAAATTAAGAGGTGATTACTCGCTTTGCAAAAAGGATTTACAGTAAGATTCCACTGGAGAACCATTATACATGAAAGCTGATTCCATATTTTAAAATTTCATTTGTACCCAACTTTTCTAATCAAACATCTATTGTATGAGGTGACTAAACTACATGGTACGCAGCTCCTTAAATGAAAAAGAGAAAGAAATAAAAGGGAATGATGTTCTTTAAAGAAGAATGACAATTATTTATGGAAAAGATAGCATTAAAAAAAAATCACTATTTTGCAGAGCCCCCAACATAATTTATTCAGGAAAGGAGCTTCAAGGCGTACTAAAACCATAAGGTAAAAAACTGGGAACAGAACATTCCCAACGTGCCAAAACATCACTCCACAGATCTAGTTACAAAAGAAATAATGTCTCCTCGCCCTCATTGTCCTCCACATCCCACCGCGTGTGTGAAGTCCCACCTGACTCTGGTCCATATAAACTTCTCCCTCCTCTGACCTAACAACCCTGAGAACAGTGGCCTTGGTTGAATATGACCCTGTTTTCCACGCATGCCTTCCTTGCTTGTAAGTGTAGCAATGGACTGGAAATATGGAGGCCAGGGTTCTACTCGGCTCTGGCACTAGTGTATAGGATCTCGGGCAGGTCACTGTCTAGCTCTAGGCCTGTTTCTTCACGTGGCCTCATCGGTATTCATTCCTTCAGCACACCAGCTACATGACCCCACCTCAGAGCCTTTATACCTGCTGGACCCTCTGCCTAAAATGCTATCTTGCCCAGATCGAAGCTACATGTGCATTTATCCTTGGAACTACAAGCCCATTTCTAGAAATTTACTTTTAAGATACACCTCCACAAATGTAAAATCACATATTCACAAAGTTACTTGCTATATAATTCTATACAGATTCTATAAAATATCAAAATTTTAGAAATACCCTAAATGTCCATCCCTCGGAGAATGGCTAAATAAAATACGGTACATCATTACAATGGTATTGCACAAGGCGGGAAGAGCTACAGCTATGCACACTGAGGGGGCAGAAAAAGAATCTAAAGGGGGGCAAACTATGAAACAGTTGCCCCAAAGGAACCAACACAAATGACATGATTACAGCCTATACGAATCGTAAGCCAATACACCCTCGATGGTTTTTATTATTGTTATTATTATTCATCCCTGACATTTACTGAAGGCACATCATCATCATCATCAGTAGCTTTTCTGAAGTAACATTACCACTTGCCAGGCACTATGATTTTGGTTTTCTTCGACTGTTTCATCTAAACATCTCACAATAAGCCTAGCATGTAGGTCCATTAGTAGTTGCATTCTATAGATGGAGAAATAGGCTGAGTAATTAGACAAGGTCACCCACGCGGCAAATGGGAGAAACGGAACTCTAACCTGGCTAGTCTGATGTCAGTGCCTATCACATACTATGCTATGCTGCCTGCACCAGCAGATCAATGATGATTTGCACTTGATGATCTCTACGGGATCTTTCAGCTCTAACATTTTATGATTAGCTTTAATGAGTCTATGATAAAGCATTCAACTAGGGGGCCAGTCGATTGGCTCAGTTGGTTAAGAGCTTGAGCTCTGAGCAACAGCGGTTCGATTCCCGGCCTGAGCTGAGCTGCCGCTGAGCTGCCAACAGGTGGCAGGATGGCTCAGCTAAAA